GATGTTCACTCAATCAACTAATTGTATCAGCAGCATGAAAGTAGTGATTCAGCACATCTGTTTTTCCAATTTAGCTTGATATTGAAAATGGCTTTAAAGTATGTGTAACTTACACAAAAGATGAAAGCCTTTTAACTTTTTTATAACTCCACTGAAGATAAAATATAATTTGAAATTTGAGAGATTCAATTAATACATAAAAAGAAGTTGAGGCAATGATTGGGTGAGGCAAATCCTTTGGGATTTTGATTTCCTTGCCTATTTTACAATTAGGGATGAGCTGGGTGACAGAAGTACTTTTATAACTGGAACAGTAATATCAGAGCTAAAAGAGAAGATGATGAAATGCTACATTACCATTCCATGTGAGATTATGAAAGGTAGATCTAAATGGTAACCTAAATTATTAAAGTTCTCCTCTTAAGAGGGAAACACACACACACCCTCAAATTACAACAAAATAATTATTTTAATAACAGCATTTTTTGCATGATTGGTAGAAAAAAATAAAATGAAAATAGCTTTGAAAAATGAACATTTGGCCTGTTGTGTTCTGAACTAATGAAACCGTATAGACTGTTTCTGCTGCTTAACTTCACTGGAAAACAACAATCCTTCCCTTCATTTTGTGGCAAGTAAGGTAAGTAGGCCTGGTCTTCTCAGGGTGGTGAGCTAGTTGTGTTCTGCTTTGCGATGGATGAGAAGTACTTTGTGGGTCTTTTGACTGGTGGTGTTAAATGATGAATGGGTATCAAACAAATGATGAAGTTGTTGGTGGAAGATTAGTGAGGATGATTTGAGTTACAAATAGGTAACAACAAAGGCAGGATCATTATCTCAGGAAACATTCCTGTGTTTCCTGGGAAGCAAGGTTCAAGTTAGTCATAATAGACAGTAGTGCTTAACTCCTCTGGGGGAAACAGACTCTGATAATCTGATAAAAGCACTGAATGCTCTCCCCAGAAAAACCCACATATGCATGTTCACTCAAACTTTTTATGCAATTTTAAGGGATTCACAGACTTTTATGAAGTCCATCCATAGACATCCTAGGATGACCTGAGTAGGATAATATCCTCTATGTTGAACATTAAAGAAAATTAATTTCCTAATGCTAAAACTATATATTACATAAAAAAGTGCTAGGAGAGAAATTTCAGTTACAGACAGGAGTACAGCAGACAGGGTATGATGGAGCAGAAGGGTTGCAGTGATAACTGACAAGTCAATGTGGAGTACACAGTGATGGAATACTGAGACAAACTGAGTAAGTACAGGGGAACAGGGGACCCAACAGAGGAAAGATTGCAAGACGACCACAATTTGACTCAATTGTTTTATAAACTTCTTAAGAACCAACTCTAAAATTATTGATATATTTGAAATCCAACTAAACAAAATCAATTACTTAGCTATGCAGCCAACTGGGTCCACTGGGGATTTAGGCCTCTGTCATCTAATTTTACCTCTAGCTGAAGTTTGCTGAACTTTGTGACTTATCCCTCTAGCATTCAATGCTACTTAAGCATCATATTAATTGATAATTTGATTTTTGCAAGTGAATGATAATAGTAATAGGCCATCTAAGATGCTGATCATATCTAGTGACTACTGTAGCTCAGATTAGCTTACTGGGACTGTAGTAAGTCATCCCATCGAAGTGCTACAAACTAATGATAGAGCAAAGCACCCTTACTCATTGATTTTACATCCCTTACTATACTTGTCCCAACAGGGCGGTGGTGTCTTTATAAGAATTACTTGGGTAGTGCTATCACTTCAGTACTATTCCCTTTAAATAATATTAGGCAGATATCTCTTCATATAAAGATAGTTACAAAGAAATATAGAACCTTGAGATCAAAAGGAGGAGTAAGCTACTGCCATCAGTAATTCATCTCTCAAAACTTCTTCCAGTTTTTGTCTTTCAGAAACAGTTAAGGCTAAAAAAATATCTTTTGAAATAGTAAGACTTATTGTTGTCATTTATAAGTCTTTGTAAATTGCAGGAAATGTACAGAACTGTAGATTCAAAATGATGGCTAAAATCATTTTGGCTGGTCCAAAATCAAATCTTGATAATAACAGAAACTACAACAATGAGGATAATGTGTCCAGTGAAATTCTGAAGTAATTAGTATACTCTGTATCTTCCTTCACCCTGAACTCAGTAATGGATTTGTATTTTAGGGCGACAATAACCAGCTAATGGTACAATTATAAACATCATCATTTCTACCAGGCATGCATTTAAGATGTTTGAGAAAGAGCTCTGAACAATGATTTAACCAATTGTGGAAAGCATTCCAAATTTAGGAATTAATAACTTTCAGTTTGATTTTGGGAAGGGGAAGGAGGGAACTGCTATGTTCTGAATGTTTATGCCCTCCCCAAATTCAGATGTTGAAACCTAAGCCCAAAGGTGATTGTATTAGGAGGTGGGGCCCTTGGGAAGTGATTAGGTCAGGAGGGCAGAGCCCTCCCCAATGGATCTGCGCCTTTATAAAACCAACCTTGAAAAAGCTCCCTTGTCGTTTCCACCATGTGAGGTTTATAGCAGGCTCTCGACAGACACTGAATCTGCCACCGCCATGATCTTGGACTTCCCAGCCTCCAGTACTGTGAGAAATAAATGTTTGTTGATTACAGGCCACCAAGTATATGGTATTTTTGTGATAGTAGCCCTGATGGATTAAGACAAGAGCTAATTATTGAGTGCCAACTAGAATATAGGAGCTTTATAAATCGATTCAGCTCAAGTTTCAAAACATATCCATGAGATAGAGTATCTTACCTATTTTATATATGAGAAAATTATTGCTCAGAAAAGTTCTGTAACTCATTCATGGTCACATTCATGGTCACCCAGTCTGTCAGCTTCTGAAGCTTGAGCACTTTCTGCCACATGACACTGAATTTTACAGGACAAAGGCTTTTGAAAACTTTTGTTTTCCTACTTTCAGAAGGCTCCTTTATAGAAATAGATTTTCCAACTTAGATTATATTTATTAAAATAAGAAAGTCAGATAACAAAGACCCTAAATATTGTTAAAATTATATCTTAGGAGATCATGGGCATAACTTTTGTCACTGATTTTTCAAATAAATATCAGGTCTGAGCAATATGGTCACATGAGGGTCATATCTTGCGAATCATTCTGAGTTGCTTAATACCTATTATATACTTTTGATAGACAATTATCTGAATTTCTTATTTTTTAGTATATCTTTACCAAAATCATCTTTGAACTTATAATCATAGCAGATCTTGGAGATATCTGAGCAAAATAACTAAATTCATGAAAACATAAATTTATCCAATTGCACACATACACATACACAAATGAATAATAAAGATTAAGTAGGTAAAATGCAATTGCTAAACATCTGAAGAGTCTTCAGACTCCTGTATATTAAACTTTCTGGACAACTGAAGTTCACTGGATTGGATCCTAAGAGGAAATCCTGCCGCTAGTAAAAATGGTAAGACTTAAGGAAACATGTGACACCGTGTGAAGGGCTGTGACTTCTCCACCCTTCAGCTGGCACAGCTCCACACATCAATGGAACCTAAGGATAATTTCAATGATGAAAAATATCGTAATTGCCATTGGACTCTTTTATTTTCTGAAATCCTTGTAAATGTATCTGCTACCCATCAAATAAACTGGATGTATTAGATTTGGAATTGCTTGCCCATGATATATTCCTCCTTAAACCAATGTTTGAAAAAGACTGATTTTAAAAAGTAAATTAAAAATTTTTAAACTTCTTGATAGTGCCAGTTACTGAGGTTTATCTATCTTCTGTTAAATTCTATAAGATATCCACAAAGTCGTGTTAGTTCAGATTCTGAAGCACTGAGAACATGTAGCCTGAAGAGTTCCAAATGTATAAAAATAGAATCCACAAACAGCGGTGGAAATGTCAATGATCTATGACAGAACTTTCTTGTTCAAAGCAAAATACTACTACATCAGACAAGTTTCATCTCATGTTTAGTTTTGCCCATCACCACAGAAACTACTTATTTCTAACACATGTAAACTCACAGTAACAAATACCTAAATATAACTGAAATTCATTTTTTACATAGAGCTTTTCTGGGGGAATAAATTTGGGATGCTATTTTTCTAAACAGTTTATAAACTACTTTTCAGCTTTTGTGCCTTGAATGTGGTACCTTGGAAAATGCAAAACTGTCCATTTCTTTTTTTTTTTTTTGCAGAATATTTTTTTTATTTATTACTTTTAAAATTTATTTTTATTTTTTGGCTCGTTGGGTCTTCGTTGCTGCACATGGGCTTTCTCTAGGTGCAGTGAGCAGGGGCTACTCTTCATTGCGGTGCACGGGCTTCTCACTGTGGTGGCTTCTCTTGTTGCGGAGCACGGGCTCTAGGCACACAGACTTCAGCAGCTGTGGCACGTGGGCTCAGTAGCTGTGGCTCACGGGCTCTAGAGAGCAGGCTCAGTAGTTGTGGTGCACGGGCTTAGTTGCTCCACGGCATGTGGGAACTTGCCGGACCAGAGCTCGAACCCGTGTCCCCTGCCTTGGCAGGCGGGTTCTTAACCACTGTGCCACCAGGGAAGTCCCAAAACTGTCCATTTCTGAAAAAGGAAAACTTTCCCAAACTGCTCCCTCTTGAAGATTCTATGTCTTACTTCAAAAGAAATGCCAGCATGACTCAAAGCCCTTTGACATGTCAGTTGAGTAAAAGATGCTTTCACAGTGAGGAGCTGTGTTTCTAATTCTATCAGCTTTACCTGGCATTACTGCCATCACACATCAACAACGGAGTGTGAGAAAGTCTGCTATGTTCTTATTGGTGAAGAACTGTTTTGACTGTCATCAAGTATGTGAACACTGAGTGCTTCTGGCCCTTGACACTGTCCAATACGTTATATGGTGTTTACAGGTGAAATAAGAATGATGTTGCTGGCACTCTGTGAGCTCAATGATTCCTCAGAACTCGCAAGAAGTGAGCAAATGAGATAGAAACATGGCACTACTGATAGTACTGATTACCTGTTTTGTGATTATTTTTTTTAATTCCCAGCCTTGCCAGACCCCTGATGACTTTGTGGCTGCCACTTCTCCAGGGCGTATCATGATTGGAGGTTTGTTTGCCATTCATGAAAAAATGCTGTCCTCAGAAGACTACCCCAGATGGCCAGAAATCCAGAAGTGTGTTGTGTGAGTAAAGCTTCAGAGAACACATTTAGATTTCAAGATTATGCAGTGAGACTAGGGCATGTAAATGTTTACTTGTATTAACATCTAAATTATTTTAACAAAATTTAAACTCATACATTTTTAAGTTGCATAAAGTTAAGTCTTGTTATTCTTCCTTACAAGAAAGATATATTAGTGCTATATGTATAATCAACCTCCAAGTACAGAGGCAATGAATGCTTCCCATTAATATATTTATTTGGATTTTGCCTATAAAGAACAACCCCTGAAGTCACAGGAGAAAACCAATAAGACACAGTAGCCTGTCCACTACAAGCATACATAGCACAATTATATTCTTATCCCCCACAAATGTGGGTTGTTTCAAACATGGATCTTTATTTAATTCTTTGTTTAAAATAGACTGCACTTAAAATTTTTCTCCATACTAACATTTTTGTCAACACTGTATTTATTTCATTCTTGAAATCGTCTAATTCTTTCATAATGAATTAAGAACCCTACTTCAACTCAGAGTGTTCCTTCTTCCTGGATGAACACTTTATATTGTGAAAGCTTGACTACAGAAGAGACATTTGTCATGGTGTATTATAGAAAAATAAAGCTGGATGGAGGATACTACAGATGGTTTTCTTTAAGGAGAACAGGCTATTTGAATTCTAATTTCAGTTTGGTGACAAAGTAATTTTGTAGATTTAGGCAAATCATTTAAACTCTCTGAGTTTCAGCTTCTGATTTTTCTCTTCTGTAAAATAAGGGCCCGGATAACTTTTGAAGACAGGCAGCATCAGCTTCTGTTGCTATAGCAACGTGATCCCAGTGCTTCCTTCTAACTCTCAAATCCTGATTTCTATCTTGATACTTTTGTATATAAATTTAATCTCCTCTTTTCTCCTCCTTTTTTTCCTTTTTTTAATCAAAAAGTGTTTAGCATGCTCTCTATGAATGCTTTCGGGTGAAATGTGATCCCACATCACTCTAAGATTCCTTCCTGGCATTCAGTTGGGTGTTTTGAGCTACTGTCATCTTAATCATTGATTATCAGGAATACCAGCGAACACCCTGAAATAGTTAATGAGGATTTTTCAGAGCACTAAATAGGCACTGCAGATTTAAGGCCCACAATCATAGGCCAACAAATAAGGATGGAAAATGATAAAAAAAAAAAAAAATCATTTGGTCTAATAAGCAAATTTGTTCTGGAAAAAAAAATTCACTGAACATCATTTTGCTTTACTGTCACTCCTTGAGAGAAAAAGTATTCATTCAACATTGAACAACTATTTATTAAATGCCTACATTACCTAGGTCGCATTCTAGGCATGGGGGATCCTGAGGTAAACACCAAAGGGGTTCAGACTCTCATGGAGCTAACACGTGGGGGACTCTGAAAATATTACACATTTTATTTGCCAGACAATTCATTACTTTAACCTTTCTTCTTTGTTTCTTTCTTTAAATTAAACACTTAATGTTCATTGCCAAACTTCACATTTAGATAGTCTGTAATGACAAACAGCATTAACCAAATATTATTTAATTTATCATAACTAACTGAATTAAAAGAAACTTGAAAATATCAAAACCCTGAACAACAATATCCCCTTTCATTCATTCAAAAAGTATTTATTGAATTCTTACTCTGTATTAGGCACTGTTTGTAACCTTCTGTATACAGTGGTGGGTGAAATAAACTTAACAGTAAATCAGTAATTAAACAACTCAATGCTCTGGAATAATCACAAGTCCAGAAGCCAACTGGAAAAACCCGCTAAAAGGGGAAATATCTATGCCTTGGAACTGAAATAGTGCATGTTATCTAGGAGAAAGCTATTGTGCGTTTACCCAGAGTCTGTTTTATAAGTCATTCTTAAGAGTCTTATTCGTCTGGTTTCCAACCACAATAGATTAGTATCACAAAAGTAAAAGATGGGAGAGTCTATAAAAGCAGATTCTTGGACAGCAATAAAATGCTGACATCTAACTACAAAAACATCTTCATACTGTAGAATACTAAATTGAACATTCAAAATGATCCTGAAATTAACCAAGAAAAGGTTAAATCCTGTTCTGTAGACTCCATTTGAGAAACTGTGGGTTCCTATATACTCTTTTTTTAAAAATTTTTTTTCTTTGGCCGTGCAGCATGTGGGATCTTAGTTGCCCAAACAGGGATCGAACCCGCGCCCCCTGCATTGGAAGCACGGAGTCTTAACCACTGGACTGCCAGGGAGGTCCCCTTATATACTCTTGAGAAAGGTTTCCATCAAAAACTATTTTTAAATAAATAAAGTTTAGATCCTTCAAGAGATAAGTGTCACCGATTCAGAAATTGTCTATTATACGGCAGAAATGAGAATAAAATAGGATATCATCATGTCTGTAGAAGAGTTATGTTCTAATTTCAAAAAAACTTGTTTCTCAACAGCTTTGAAATATCAAATTTTCTTCAAACTCTTGCTATGATACACAGCACTGAGATGATTAATAATTCAACACTATTATCTGGGGTCAAACTAGGGTATGAAATCTATGACACTTGCATAGATGTGACAGAGGCAATGGCAGCTGCTCTGAGGTTTCTAAGTTCAACTGCTCCAGAGAAATCGTGGAGTTTAAGTGTGACTATTCCAGATACATGCCAAGGGTTAAGGCTGTCATAGGTGCTGGCTACACAGAAATAACCATGGCTGTCTCCCGGATGTTGAATTTACAGCTCATGCTACAGGTGGGTTTTGTTCTACCTCCATGCATTGGGTTTGATCATATTCTTTATCATGAAAGGATCAGGGTAATCTGGGAAACTAGTGGGGGAGATGCTTTTACTTTAACCTTTCTTTCCCTTCAGTAAAAAAAAAAGGATGTGCCCTATTATGGATAGCATAGTGATCAAAGCACTAAGGGAGTAGTCATCCCTCAATCTGTCAGGTCTAGTTTCCGACAGTTTTCAGTGTGATTTGGATAAGACAGGAACTTCTGAGCACCTCATCTGCCTTGTTTCTAAAATAACATCAGTCAGGTACCATGAAGAAAACTGCAGGGGAAGTGAGGGGTAAAGGGGAGCGGAAGTCAAAGAAGACTCTCAAGGAGGTGACGTTTAGCCTGAAACTTGAATGAAAAGGGACAGTCGAGAGAAGATGGGGAGAAGAGGAGAGCACCTAGGCTGAGAAAGCAGTAAGTACAAAGTTGAAATGTCCAAAGAATAACAAAAGGTCAATATCGTTAGGTCAGTTCGAGCAGAAAGGAGCAGAGTAAGAGATGCATTTGTAGAGATGGGTAAGGGCCGGGTCATATAGCATCTTGTAAGCTGTGGTATGGTTTGCACTTTGTTCTGAGTATGATGGAAAGGCTTTGAGCAGAGAGTGTGAACTACTGAGCTTCCTATAATGCAAACCATTAACCAGGAAGTAAGCAAAATGGTCTCTGAAAGACCAAAGTGTGTATTAGACAGCCCTGCACTAAGTCCTTGCACATTACTCAGAGTCAAGCAAGCTCTCTTGCCTTTGATTTTGAACCAATTAACCTTCATATCACATCACTCTGTAACTCACTAGGTCATTACTTTCTAAGATCAAGGAAGATTAGAAGCAAAATGTTAGAAAAGGCTTATAGTCAGATTATCAAGAAATGACCATCTGATAGAAGTGAACAGATAGAAATATATACATGTATAATATAAGTACATAAGAATTCAAAATATATAACTTTCTGGAGCTAGACTAAATAAATGCATATACCCATATAAGACTCTGAGAGTTCCATTATATTATAGCTTAGAGAAGTCGATAATGAAAAGTTTAAGTCCAAAACAAAACAAAACAAAAAGAACTACTCCCCCAAATATCTCAGAGATAAGGCTTTGGCCCAAAATTTCTAGACTACGTATAAAGTTAGTTAAGTGACAAGTAAGAAAAGTAGACTATTTTTAACAATGGTTGTTTAATGTGAAAATGTAATTTCCATGATAGACCACACAATAGGAGAGGGGACTCTCTGTGGTAACACGGATTTTGCAGAAGCCCAGGCGGCACAGTGAAAGTGAGCAGAGTTATGTCAGGTACTGGGAAGGGAATTAAGGTTTAGTGAATGTCCACGGTGTGCCACTATCCATTTAAAATTTCTCCTTCAGTCTTCACAAGAATCCTGTTGTTTCACAGGGAAAGAAATGTTAACTAACTTTGCCAAATTTATTGGAGTCAGGATTCTAACAGTTTGTTTGACTCCAAAGCCTATTGTCCTTCCCCCATACCATGTAGCTGCTGTAAATAGTAAAAAAAAAAAAATCACTGAGGAAGTGGCACAGTGCAACTGCAGCTGTGGAAGGTAATAACTCTCCCTAGAATAAAATCACCAAAGCTGTAAATTAGGCAAAACTTTGCACACATTAGGGAGGTCTCCTAAAATGCTGCTGCTCTTTTGAGTAGATTAGGAGTCCGAAAACTATTGAATGTATAGCCTGTGGGTCAAATGTGGCTCTCAAGCTCTTGAGATGTCAAGCTAAGAATGATTTTTAAATTTTTTAACGGTTGTAACAAAAAATACAAAAATAATATATGACAGACCACACATGACCAACAAAGCTTAAAATATTTTACATCTGGTCCTTTAAAGAAGAAAATTTGCTGACCCCTGGACAAATGATTATTTCTCTGGATGATTTATTTTACCTAGAATAAAAATCATCAAAGTTGTCATTTATACAAATTTTGAACAAACTAGGTGTCTGAAAATTCATTTTGCTTATTTGACTGGCTGCATTTTCCCATATTTATCTCTAAGTATTTAAAAAATATCCACTATTGGCCCTGGCCTGAGATATAAGATAGATATAAATGGATATAGGAGTGTAGATGGAGATTTAAGATAGAGCCTAAACCCTTGAAGGGCTTATACTATACACAGTACCAAATGATTGAAAAGCAATGACTCTCAACAGTCACCAGGTACTAAATATTGTGATTTAAGCTATTTATAAAGTAGTTCATTGAAGGGAAAGGAGGGAAAGGATCAAAGAATTTAGAAAATGTTATGGAAACTCACAGAAATCAAAGAGAAGAATATCTACTATGAATAGCCACCTGCAGCTCATCAACACCATAACTAAAAGTTTCTGTCCATTTCCAGGTGAGTTATGAATCAACTGAAGAAACCCTAAGTGACAAAATTCGCTTTCCTTCATTTTTACAGACTGTGCCCAGTGACTTCTACTAGACTAAAACAATGGCCCACCTGATTCAGAAATCTGGATGGAACTGGATTGGCATCCTAACCACAGATGATGACTACGGACGACTGGCTGTCAGCACTGTTGCAATTCAGACCTCAACAAATAATGTGTGCATAGCCTTCAGAGAAGTTCTCCCAGCCTTCCTCTCAGATAATACCATTGAAGTCAGGATCAGGAAGACACTTGAGAGAATCATAGCAGAAGCCAGGTTAATGTCGTTGTGGTATTTCTGAGTCAGCTCCATGTTTTCAATCTCTTCAGTAAAGCCATTGAAAGGAATATAAATAAGATCTGGATTGCTAGCGATAACTGGTCAACGGCCACCAAGATCACCACCATTCCTAATGTTAAAAGGATTGGCAAAGTTGTGGAGTTTACCTTTAGAAGAAGGAATATGTCCTCTTTCCATTCCTTTCTTCAAAATCTGCATATGTTTCCCAGTGATAATAACAAGCCCTTAAATGAATATGCCATGCTCAAGGCTCTGCCTGTGCATATACTAAGGACAGTGATCTGAGTCAATGCATTTCCAACTATTCTCAGGGGACTTTGGCCTACAAGGCTAACGAGGATATAGAAAGGAACTTCTCACTGAGAAATAACTTCCTGTGGGATTACACTGAGCCGGGACTTGTTCACAGTATTCAGCTAACAGTGTTTGCCCTTGGTTATGCCATTTGGGATCTGTGCCAAGCTCGAGACAGTCAGAACCCCAATGCTTTCAACCATGGGAAGTACTAACTCACATATCTGAGAAAATTCCCCTACCATCATATCTCTCCTTTCTTTAATCTGCAATATTTATATAAACTGCTCTTAACTCTATTCCTTTTATAAGTAGATACTTTCAGTGTTGGAATAACCTGAATTTCTAGCACTAGTTCTTTGTTCTTAAGGATAATAGAGTTTTTATTTTACCTTCACCTCCTACGCTGACCCACCAAAGTTGTGTTCTTTTAATTTCCAAGAAGATTCTGTTGATAGTGCTATTTTCCTTTGGTTTATGTATTTGTATCTGATCTTGCAGTTTTTCAAAGCTTCAAATGATTATCTCTTTTGATGCTCTTAACAAACACAAGACCAGGCATGTTTAATGATCCCTTTTATTATTGCTAAATATTATGCATAAAGAAACTAAAGATGAAAGTACCAGAAATATGACTCTCGTCTGGCTCTTCTGACTCCATACCCTCTGGTTTTCGTGGTGTCTCTGGTGGTTATAGTCCTAACGCCTCCAGTTATGACTCTTACATAGGGCAGTCTCCCTAAGACTCCAGTCTTCTTCAAATGAATGTTGTTAGGTCAGTCATAACAAGTCCTATGACATCTCAGGTTTAAATGAACCACTAATTGTGTAAAAGAAGTCTTTCTCTTTCTTCTCTTTGATTAGTTTGTAGAAACTCTTATTAAAGCATAATATGGCCCTATTTAGTGAAAATTTTCCATTGTGTTTTTAAAATGTTCATAAACAAGGCATTTAAAAGCAAACTGCTGCTTTATATGATAAATTTTACTCATTAGAAACAAATTTCTCACTAACGTATATTCAAAGCCAAACCTGTCTGTCTTAAGACAGAATCATGTTCCAAAAAAGATATTTATTTTACATTTGTTAGGGAAAAAAGGTAAAAGGGAATAAGATCCAATTCTTCTGATCACATAAGTGAATGTCCATGGCAGGCTGTTTCTACGTTTGTCATTCTTACTTTTAACACCCACAAACACAAGCTCCAAGGTCTGAAGTGATCAGCTTACATTTGGGTGAATCATGTGATGGTCATAGGGTGTTTTAAGTTGCTCATTTTAAAACTAGTTTTCACCTTGTAAATGCAAGGCAAAAAAAAACCTAATGAAGAGGTAAGACTAGAGATTAGAATTTTTATTTTTAATTAAAACTCTTTTTAAAATATGTGTGTATACACACACACACACACACACACACACATATTTATATGTCTAGTGATTTTAAGATACCTGTTTGAAAGCATACTCTTTGTAATGTAAAACTTTAATGAGGGATTGGTTAAAAAAAAAAACAAAAAAATCTAAGTGGACCAACATAATGAAACCACTACATGAAATTTTAAGAATGAGAGGTTGAGAAAGAGTAATGGAGAGAAAATAGACAATCAGAGACAGATGGGATAAAGGGGAGGAGCTATAAAGAGACTCATAAGAGAAGAGAAGTACAAATAGCAATAGCTATTTATCCTCTGGGAAAGTATTTTAAGTCAGGAATAAGTCTCAAACATTCTGAGGAAAAATCTTGAGAAAGTATAATTGAAGCAGATCTTCTAAAATGTTTTATTTAAACACTATGAGCCTGGGGTCATTGTTTATCCCCCCCCACCCCGGGAGCATGGTAATCCAGAACAAACAGAAACAGACTGGAAAGGAGGAATAGGGGAGTGCCTTGCTCCTTTGATCACGAGTGAGCCATGTCTATGCCAGAATTAATTGGACAAATAATGCAAACAATTGTCTTTTTAGGAAGAAATCTCCATAGACATTAAATTTAAAAGATCAGCAACATTTAGGGTCACTAATCAAAGATATATTCCTAAAAATTATTTTGTCCCCCGGCAAAATTCACTAATATTTAAATAGTACTTTCTGAATGATTTTAGATTCAAAAAACTTTAAAAGAGTTAGTTTTTTCCAATATTCGAGGATAATCCTTACCTTGGCTCCACATTTGGTGCTGTCGGTGAGTAGTATTCAGGGATAGCACAGTCATACTTGTTTTATCTCAACATATTTTTTTTTTATGTTCCTCAGATGTGTGTGAGAATACCACCTCCTTGTTGTGAATAGTGATTTTGGTTTTCTTTTTTGTTTTCCTCTACTGTGGATGATATACAAGGTAGTGAGTGATGTATGTGGGATGAGAGAATGTAAAATAGTCAAACTACTCTTTACACAATTATTTGGCAAATATTTGTTGGGTGTCTCAATGTTCCAGCCATTGTGTTGAGTGCTGAAAATATTATGGAGAACAAGACAGTTCTCTCCCTAAAGGAGTCATGTGTCTAGAGGAGTAAACAATCAAACAATTAAGGAGCTGGTCACAGTGCAGAATAATGCATTACAATGTTTCATATAAATACAAGAGGGTAGAGAAGCATATAATTGAGGCAACTAATCCAGCATTAGCAATTCAGAGAACATTCTCCAAAGATCATAACACCTCTGGTGAATATGATAGATGGGTAGGAGTTAAGCAGGACAGAAATACTCCAGCAGAGTCACAGAGAGAGAAAGCATGGCATCTTCGGGGATCAGAAAATAGTGCCATAGAACTGGAGTCTTTTGTGGAAATGACAGGCAAATGAGAGTGGAGGGTTAGTGAAGCATCCATCATTAGGGCCTGATAAATCAGAGCATCTCAAACTTGATTACCTGGTAATATGATTATCATGCTGATGCTAATTCAGTAGTTCCAATGTGGGGGACCTGAAAGTCTGCACTTCTAACCGTCTCTCAGGTGGGGCTGATATTGCTGGTACAAAGACCATCCTTTCAATAGAAAGTGTGCAAGCTAAGTTTAAAGGTTTGGACTTGAGAGAGCAAAGGGGAGCCAATTAAAGCTATTTTTAGACAGAAGAGTGATGTGACCTGCTTTCCGTTGTAGAAATAGTATTCCTACTGCAATGTACATTGACTAGAGGAACACAAGACTAGACAGAGAAAGACCAGTTTGGTAATCCAGCCATACAGTAAGGATGCCTTATACTTCAGTTATAAGTACTACAGGTACTAAGGGTGTGACAATGAGGATGGAGAGGCATATACTTAAGAGGAAAGACGAAGAGTATTTGGAGATAGATTGGATGTAAAGAATGACAGAGAAAAGCAAAGATGTCGCAAATGATTCTAAGTTGGGGCAACTGGTGCCATTTATTGAGATGGAAACACAGAGAAAAGTGAAGGTCTGGAAGCGAGAAGAAATATTAAGCATTCCATTTTGGACATGTTGAATGTGAAGAACTTATGAGACATTCAAGTGTAGTTCAGAAGTCAGAAGAGACATGAGGACAAAAAGGGAACTATTGTGGGGCAATGAGGAAAATAATAACTAATGATTTTAAGGCCTCTACTATACTAGCATTGACACACATCATCTCTAATCTTTAAATATTATGGTAGATCCACTGATTCTTGTTCATTACACTTCGTCCTAAAGAACTGGCAAGAAGAAGTGTTACTGGTGACTGAGAATTGCAGCAGTTTAGAGATGGAGGGGACCTCAGCCATAAGGGTCTGGCCCGTGGGCACTCATAGAGTTAGCAGCGAAACCATCCCAGCCTTAGTCATGTGCATTTTTGCTACACCATAGAAAAGTTTACAAAAGAAAAAGACATAGGTTGGGTACCAGACAGAGATGCAAGGCTGCTTCCTTGCTAGTCTCTAATTCGCTCACATAGATACCTCTTTTCAGAAGCACAGCTCACTTACGGAGACGTAGTGGACAGCAGAGAGGCTGGGGACATGGAAAACAACATCAACCACAGCAGCTTAATTGGAGTGGTCTCCTGACCTCGTGTTCTCAGAAACAGGTCAGTACCATACAGAGGTGAATTATATAATCATGGAGATGCAAATCCTACTCTCTAAATATTTTAGAGTCAACTTATCAAGAGTTTCAGAGTCTTGATGAAAAATAAACAAATAATGGATGGAAAAAGCCTTAAATAGCTTAATAACTGTAAGCATTAATGTTCAAAATTACCTTAATCCAGAGCAAATGTTCAATAGAATATTTAACAAGTGATGAATGTACTGTTTTGTTTGCCTCCACCCTCTTTCCTGTAAGAACAAACATGGAATTGTGCTAGTTTATTTACATCATACAATGTTATCATTATTTACAGAACGTATATGTGTCAGAAATTTACCCTGTAAAACCTGATTAAATGGAGGAAAAAACTGGTGGAAATTATAGTTCAACCAAAAGAATGGAAGAGGATATGCTCTCTAAACAACTAAGTTCCTGGGGCTTATGTGTGTATATTGCTTAAGGAAGGAACAGAAGAAAAATCAATACACAGGTAGAGATGGGAACATTGAAGGTAGGGCTTTACTTGTTCTATTTTTGTTTCCTCCATATTTTTTGTTCCAGGCAATTGCTGGTATAAGATTTTGTCAGTTAATTCTACCATCTTAGATCTGACATCCTGCTTCTTTAAAGCAATACTAATTAATTTGAATTGATTAAAAGAACTAAGAAACCTGTGAGGACATATAACAAAATCAATATACATACTTAGAGATTTTGCTAAAGTGATATCTGGTTATTGACATGACTACTGTAGCTAATATATTTACTTAAAATACAATTTGATTTTCTTATATTCTATTTACCAAAGGGGAAGAAAAACTGAAGGAAAGAAACATTCATAAAAAATTAACTAAGGGACTTCCCTGGTGGTCCAGTAGTTAAGACTCCGCGCAGGGGGCCCGGGTTTGATACCCAGCCAGGGAACTAGATCCCACACACCGCAACTAAGAGTCCACATGCTGCAATGAAGATGCCACACGCGGCAGCAAAGATCCCACATGCCACAACTAAGACCCGGCACAGCCAGACAAACAAATAAATAAATATTAAAAATATTAAATAAATATTAAAAAAAAGATTAACTAGGAAGAAATAGAATAAGAATAACTCTATTCAAATAGAATAATTTCAGCCTTGTTCCATAGATTTTGCACCCAACAAAAGCCACATAAGCACCACAGATATAGATGCACGGGACCGTGGAGCCAGAACTCAAATGTTTTCCTCCCTCCCAGTCCAGTATTCTTCTCCTGCAGCACAAGTTCAATACAGCTGCCTCATCTGTCAGTAAAACATTTTCTGTTCTAGCTATATTGCATACAAGTTCTCACTGAACAAACTGGGTAACAAGAAAAGTACTTTTTCATTATATTTCTTCTCAAGTTAAAAAAAATCATTTTCTGAACTAAATTGCAAATAGAATTTAGAAATCACTTTACTATACTCTCAATTACTGAAACAGACTTGAAAACCATTGGAGATGAGAAGATCTACATGTCCCACCAAACGAGTATGGACTTAGAAGGCAGACACTAGCAGTTACCTTAGGCTTACCAATTACACTTCTCGGGTAGGGACGCGCCTCAGCACAAACCCCAAGAGCAGGGTGCTGTCGTTACCGGACTGTTGCCCAGGTCTGTAGTTCTGTCCCCTCAGCCTTCATTTTGGGGCTGGTGAGCACGACAGCTACTGGCTTGGATTACCTACTCAGACTTGGCCAAAGGCCCAGGCTGATTGTGACTCTAGAAGGAAAGGACGAATTTCCTGCCTTCCATAACTCCAACTGGCACAGGGATGATTGCTTTGAGTCAGAAGGAAACAAACAATGAGGAGAATTTAAATGAATATATTGTTAGGTGCAATGGAAAGACCTCATAATGAAAGTCAAGATGTGTATCCTCAGATAAGGTCCTTCACCCCTTGGCTGGGGTCCTCCTCTGAGAAAAGAGGAAGACGATCCCTGCTCAGCTTGCTTTGCTGAGTTGTTATGGAGTAAAAGGGCATCACAGATTTGAGTATTAACATGTAATGTATGAACGTCAGGTGACTTTATTAGTTGGTAGATGCAAAGTATTTTTATTTATTTGCACAACATCCCTATTAGCTAATAACAGGTACTTAAAGGTATTAAGCTAATCTCTATTAATCTGTGCCATATACTGGGCTAAAGTGCTTACATCCATAATTACATTTAATTCTTATAATAATCATATTAAGTAGGTTTAATTTACCTCAACTGTGGCCTAGAAAGAAATTGTAACTGCCAAGATCACACCACTAATGAAATATGGAACCAGAATTAGAGCCCAGGCATCTGCCCCAGAGGACCCATTAATTCTGCAACGTGGAGAAAGTAATGATGGTCAGATTTCAATTTTGTAGGCTAGAGAAGCTACCTCCATAAACATTAACTTGCTTTCTCAAATTCACAGAGCAAGACTTTGGCAGAAATTCTCAACATTTCTCAAATTGTTGCCTAGTAGTTAAGCACCTTCTCAACTAATTACCACACTCACTGATCCAGAATGTCCTTTTTCTAATTTTTAAGTGATATTCCTGTAAGGCAGTGTTACAGTTGGGATAATGGATACACTTACAATATTTCTATCAGTCTTTGCTTTTGTTTTTATTGTTCATAGTTAGTTGATGTACTGAAAAATGTGACGTTCACAGAGGGAGGGAGTTCATTTCATTTTGATGCTCATGGAGATATGAATACTGGATATGATGTTGTGCTCTGGAAGATCAACAGCCACATGACTATTGCCAAGATGGCACAATATGACCTGAAGAATGATGTCTTCATTGTCACAGACCAAGAAACAAAAAATGAGTTCAGGAATCTTAAGGTAATTTCGCTGTTGGCTGCTTTACAGCATTCAAATCAATTGGTACTTCAACTGCAAAAGTCCTTGACCCCGCCAGGACCTCCAGTGGTCCTACTGCCTGTTCTCTGTCCCCAACTTCCCTCCTTAAATTCCATAGTCAACTTGTATATCACTCCCTTGTACACACCCTCAATTTCCTTGCCCATCTCTCTCTTCATCTTATTCATTGGACCGAAGTATAATCCTGGTTATATTAAACTAATCAGTATAGCCCCCATGTAGCTGAACTTGGCAAAAACAAACAAGTAAAAAAGAAAAAGAAAAAAACCCCACCTACCTTGCTGACTGTTCTCATTTAAAATTCATGATCTCTAACCTCCAGTGGGTCCTAAATGCTATTGGGCAGTCAGACTATTACCCTAGCCCATAATCTGTCCACCTTCCTAGATGGCTTTTTATACTTTCTTTTCTCTTCTTTGACTCCAACACATCTTCCCCATCTTCACTTTCAGTGGACCCTGCTTCCTATTTGACTAACAAAACTGAGACAATCAAAAGAGAACTCCAGTGTTCTGCTGCCACCACATCTGTGCCTGTATCCCTGCTTTCCATCTGGCACTGTGGATGGACTGTCTATGCTCCTAGCCAAGGTCAGCTCCTCCAGTTGACCTCTGAATCCCAACCCCTTTTACTTACTCAAGGACATTGCTCTGGCAATTCTCCACTCTCTTCTGCACCCTCAAGTATTTTCTGTGTTATTTAAACAGTGATACAAACATGCTGTTTTTCCTCCCATCTTAAGAAAAAAACCGAAGAACTCCATTAACCCCCCCACTTTCCCCTCCATATACTACCCATTCCTCTATTTCTCTTTACTGAAAAACTCCTTGGAAAAGTTGGATATATTCACTGGCCTCAATATCTCTCCTCCCATAATTCTTTTCAGTCCATCAAAATTCTTTCTCTCTAGTTAATAAATACAAACATCATCTTACTTCACTTACTGGCTAATTATTCTCCGTTCTTTATTTGCTTCCACAACAGCACACTCCCTTGGTTTTCTTCCTCTGTTTCTGGCCACTACTTCTCAGTCTCCTTTGCTGTTTCCTTACCATTCTTATTGCCTATAAATATTGGTGGACCCAGAGCTCAGAACCGCTCCTCTTATTGGTCTGCAGTTTTCCTTAGTGATCTCATCCAGGCATTTAAATAATGTCACTATATAGAAGGCAGATGACTCCCAGATTTGTATCTTCTGAATTTCAACTCAAGTAAATATACAACTGCCTGACTGACATCTCTACCTGGGCGTCTGGTAGTCATCTTAACTAATTATCTCCAAGATTGAGCTCCAAAAGCTACCCCCATTGCAATAAATGGCAACTCCCTTCTCCTAGCTGCTCATGGAAAAATCTGGTGGGATCCTTGTCACTTCTCTTTCTGTCACACTTCATATCCATCCTAAGTTATACTTTCAATATGAGTCCAGAATCTGACACTTTTGTCCTCTTCTGTTGCTACCACCCCACTCCAGGCTAGGATCACCTCTCACCCAGATTCAGATAGTAGGTTTCTAACTGCTCCTTGCTTCCACTCTTAGCCCCTTCAGTCTGTTCTTAAGACAGAAGCCAGAGTAATCCTGTAAAATATCATGCTCTTCTCAGAACCCTCCCTATACATCCTATTTCTCTCAGAGGAAAAGCCAGTGTCTTTAAACACCATACATTACCTGCCACCAGCACCTCCCTGACCTCATCTCCCACTACCTTCCTACAACCCCACGGGCTTTCTCAATCTTCCATACATGTCTTCCCTTCTCCTAGCTCAAGGCCTTTTACCTGCTGTTTCCTTTGCCTGTAATAATCTTCCCTGATGTCCACATGGTACACTTTCTCACTTCCTTTCTGTCTTTCCTAAAATGTCACCATCTCATGGAGGCCTTCCCTGGTCACATTATTTAAAATTGCATTGTCAACCTAATACTCCTTCTATACCCTCCTGTCTTTAGTTTTTCTCCTTAGCACTTATCACTATCTAGCATTCTGGACTTTTTGCTTATTTTTATTTTGTTTATTGTCAGTCTTGTCAACTAGAACAGAAGGCCTCTGAGAGCATGGAATTTTATATTTCATTCCTTACTATGGCTCCAGTAATTGCAAGAGTGCCTGGCCCTCAAAATGTATGTGTTCAACGAAAGAATGAACATAGAAATGCTTTAAGCCACTATCTTATTCTAATTTTCCCTGTCATAAATTTCAGTTAAGTAAGGTACTTTTTCCTTGAAACACAGAAACATAGCCATCCTTCTGCATTCTCAAACTTTCATCATTGTCTTCGTTATCATCACTATCATCCTCACAACTACATTGTGAACCCAGCACTCTGCTAAACACCGTAACTCACACTGGATTTTTTAGACCATGTTGTGACTCAGTTTATTATTGAACATAGAGAGGATTCCCTATTATAATTTCTGCAAGAAGTGCTATTTTGAACTGTTACCAAGACATCTCCAGACTTTGTAGGGGAGACACTAAATGTGGGGGAGATGATAGGATGACAGATAACTGAGTGGGGCTTTTAGGGACTAAACGGAAGGGACTGACAACCATGAAACGAGGGACAAGGCTTCCTTTCTGATGGAAACACCCATACATATTTCAAGGAGGTAGTAGAAACCAACAAGATCTGAGATCAGTTAGGTCAGACTTCAAGAAAATGACAAATCACGCTTCTAAGACACATGAGAGAGGGTCCTTTTCCTGTTCTCCTTTAAGAGCCAGTGTGTACTGAGCTCTGGGGCTATCCCTAATAAACTAGTGTGCAAGGCCCCAAATCAGTGCTTGTAATGAAGCTCTAGTGGAAGCTGAGAAAACAGAAGTACAAGTTAGATGCATGACCAAGGCTTCCAGTGGTGACCGAGGCAAGAGGAAACTTGCCTATTTTATTTCCACTGGGCATGGGTGAGGCGAATTGCTATACAAAAGCAATGGCTGTCTAATAACTCACAGTACTTTTATCATGTACACATTTATAAATCACACACATATTTCTATTTTCTAGTAATTAAACTTTTCTCCATAACTGTATACAAAGAGTTTTGGTGGCAAAAGCAGAGGGAAAACAGTTGGTCACAGACTGGTCTTTTCCTCATTGTAAACATCCTCAGGAGCGTTGAAGAAATGCCATACGTACACAGCAGTGCCTGAAACTATCTGCCAGGAACTCTTATGTAAGTGTTTCCTTGTCCTTGGTAGTAACATTAACTTGTCAAAGAAACATTCCTTGATATTGTTACCACATCTTAACTGTGCCTTAGTTTTCTTAGGTGAAAAAATGATGATAAAAATGCTTGTTCTGTCTACCATATAAGGTTACTATAAAGATCTACAGAGATAATACACGTTAATGTGTTTTGAAAGCTGTAAATCACTATTCGAAAATATTATTACTATCCTCATCACAGTTATTATTCGTTTTCACAACAATCTTGTGAGGTCAGTAACTATTACCAAGGAGGAATTTAAGGAACAGTAAGATTAAGTGTCTTGCCTAAAGTCCACAGCTTTTTGGTGGCCAAGTTGATGTGAATTCAGACAACCCAACTAGCTGCTATACCATACAAATCCATATACACTGCAAATTAGGGAGAGAAAAGGTTTCCAGAGTTGTATATCAACACTTATTTTCATGCCTTTGACCTAAAATGTTTAAACTTTTAAGGAGATACATTAAATAATCTTACAGCCATCCAAGTATCAGGTTAGAATCATAAACCTGTTTCTCCAGTGACTCAGTCGAAAACACATACAGAACAAGAGGAAAGGGTATGTTCCACACAGTGCTTACCCAAGTAGAAAAAGATATTCTTGGACCTTCAAAATTTGTTAAATTTACTAGTTTGGAAATAGAAATTATTATACTCTGTAGATGAAACAGCAATTTAGAACACCTGGTTTGTCAATATCTATCACAACTGAAGACAGTCTCTGACTTAGCAATTCTCCTGATAGAACATTTAGACCTCAGAAATAAATTCTCAACTACATAGAAATACATGATATTCCTTGTAAAAATCCTTATAAGAATAAAAAAATTTTAACTTCAAACAAGTTAAATGTCTATAAAGAATTCATTAAATAAATTATGGTACATTTGTTCAATAAAAGACTGTTCAACCACTTGAAAAAGTGAAGTAAGTTTATACGAACAGCTACTAAAAGGTCCTGCCATCTATTGTGAATGATGGAAACCAGTTGCAGAATAGTACAATTTTTGTATACATACTATATATAAAGATTGGGAAGACAAGTATCTAACTGGTAATACTAGTTTCCTCTAAAGGGTACATGATTGAGCAGACTTTCACTTTCTATGTTTTATTACTGTTTGAATTTTAATTACAATGAGAATGTTTTACTTCAGAATAAAAATTTTAAGAAAAATAATTTCTTAACCAGCCCATTTGCTGATCTGGTATTATTGCAATGAAACTCATGAAAAGCTGTTTTATATAACAAAAATAGAAAGTAAGTGGTAAAGAACATTCTAAAAGAGAATAATAATGATAAAGGTGGCAGAACTGCCAGGAGTCAGTAGTTCTTCCAGATAAAGTAACAATAATTAAATGATGCAATATTGAAACAAAAACAAACATAAATAAAATGGAATCTTAAAATCCAAATAAACCCATTTATATATTATATTTAAGCATTCGGTAAAATAAGAACCACATAATTCCAGGAAAGTGAATATTATTTAATAAACAGGGAGGGATAATTGTAGTGCTGTATAGGGAAAATTGATTTAGATCGAAAACTTACACCCCAAATGAACTCTATGTCAGTTATTTGGTTACAGAAATGCAAAAAGAAAAAAAAAGTAAAGCATTAGTTACCAAAAATAAAGTTATGCTAACATATGAAGAAACATCATAACATTGGATTACTTGAACATTTTTTGTGTGTTAGAACTATCTCCTTAAGTCAGCTTCCCAGAGTAAAACTGTTGGTGTGCGCACGCACACACACACACACACACACACACAACACACATTTACATGACTCTTGACAGGAGTTGGGAATCAAATTCAGAACACATGTTTTGAAAAATATGAGAGTACATATTTAGAGATAGAATTAAACAAAATATCTGAACTAAAGCCCATCCAGAACATCACATATTCTGTAATTAATTACAACAGGTAAAGTTAGAAACAACCTACGTCCACCATAGAAATAAAATACATTATAGCATTTCTTTATAACTAAATATTAAGATGCCACATAAAAAGATAAAGATTAGGCTGCAAAATGGAAATGGTTTATGATTTATAAGTGAAAATTTTAGATGTTATGGGTACTCAATAAAGATTCTAAGCAAGCATAGAGAAATAGAAAATATTTGTGTTCAGGATGTGAGAATATGGGATAATTCTATGTTCCCTTTAATGTTATTTTAATAATATGTTATATATTTAAATATCATAATGGAGTATACTGAAATGTACAGATGATAAGAGTAAGATTGTTCCCATCAACTTGCAGTTCTATTGCCACTATTTAGGGCCGAAGTAGACTATGAAATAAATGTAATAAATGTGAACTGGATGCCCTAAAGCACAGCTGCTATCTAATCCAGTTTTAATTGTCTGGAGGCTGAGAAAAATCATGAAAAAAAGCAATGCCTGAAACCACATATGTTTTTAGCAGAAAAACTATCATAGAATGTCTATTAGATTTACCTTTGGGGGGCTGGGGGTTGTGACACTAAGCTCATAATTTGCTTCCAGGCACAGCACATAACACTTGGTAGCTCAGACTCCACGCTGGCAAAATGGCTATATTAAACTCACTTTTTCTTCTGATACTTGAGAATAGTCTCTACTTAAAATTTTTAACGACCAAAAAGAAAGGAAAAAAAAACAGAAAGTACATATATTTGAGCTGCAGAACACAGACTGTGAGCTAGTTGAGGGCACGGACAGAACTCATCCTCTTCATATGTATCATGAGAATTTAGGAAAACTCCCCTATTCTGTAGGTGTGTATTTGTAGAACAATTTGGAATACTGTTGCCACCTAGTGGGCAATTATATTTTTACTTTTTATTTATGGTCAATAGTATAACAGGAACTAGGACCCTCATGGAACACTTTTAGAACAGCTTCATGATAAACACTTATATAGATGTTCTTGCTTAATTCAATACTAATGAATACAAGCATTAAACTAAAATATACATTTTATTAGTTTACCAAATAAAGTAATTAAGAAATGGTAATGTAAAAATATATTCTTAGGAGCAAAGAAGTTACTTTTAAATTGACTCCAAAAAAATTACAACTTTTAATTTTGGCAGGGCAATAATCCCTCATTTTCAACTTATATACATTTTTTTCCTTGGGGAAAAGTATAGAAATTGCCCTTATAGAACTTGCTCTTTCTTCCTAAATATTCAAACTATAATACATATGAACAAAATCTTCACAAAAAATTTTAAAACTTTTTCACCATTGATTCATTCATTTAATATTTCTTGTCGTAGCCTTTCCCTTTTCACTTAAGGAGGATCCTTTACACTTCTGTAAGGTCAGTTTAGTATTGATAAACACTTTTAGTTTTTTCCCACCCTAGAAGCTTGTTCTCTCCCCTTCAATTATGAATGATAACCTTGCTGGGTAGAGAATCTTAGGTTATAGGTTTTTGGTTTTTTTTTCTTTAAGCACTTTAAATATGTCATGCCACTCCCTTCTGGCCTTATAACTCAATTTTTTAATAAAACACTTACACATGGATAGGTACATGTAAAAGTATGAGATTAGATCACTCCCTAACACCATACACAAAAATAAGCTCAAAATGGATTAAAGACCTAAATGTAAGGCCAGAAACTATCAAACTCTTAGAGGAAAACATAGGCAGAACACTCTATGACATAAATCACAGCAAGATCCTTCTTGACCCATCTCCTAGAGTAATGGAGATAAAAACAAAAATAAACAAATGGGACCTAATGAAACTTCAAAGCTTTTGCACAGCAAAGGAAACCATAAACAAGACCAAAAGACAGCCCTCAGAATGGGAGAAAATATTTGCAAATGAATCAACTGACAAAGGATTAATCTCTAAAATTTACAGGCAGCTCATGCAGCTCAATAACAAAAAAATAAACAACCCAATCCAAAAATGGGCAGAAGACCTAAATAGACATTTCTCCAAAGAAGATATACAGACTGCCAACAAACACATGAAAGAATGCTCAACATCATTAATCATTAGAGAAATGCAAATCAAAACTACAATGAGATATCATCTCACACCAGTCAGAATGGCCATCATCAAAAAATCTAGAAACAATAAATGCTGGAGAGGGTGTGGAGAAAAGGGAACACTCTTGCACTGCTGGTGGGAATGTGAATTGGTTCAGCCACTATGGAGAACAGTATGGAGGTTCCTTAAAAAACTACAAATAGAACTACCATATGACCCAGCAATCCCACTACTAGGTATATACCCTGAGGAAACCAGAATTCAGAAAGAGTCATGTACCAAAATGTTCATTGCAGCTCTATTTACAATAGCCCGGAGATGGAAACAACCTAAGTGCCCGTCGTCGGATGAATGGATAAAGAAGATGTGGCACATATATACAATGGAATATTACTCAGCCATAAAAAGAAACGAAATTGAGCTATTTGTAATGAGGTGGATAGATCTAGAGTCTGTCATACAGAGTGAAGTAAGTCAGAAAGAGAAGGACAAATACCGTATGCTAACACATATATATGGAATTTAAGAAAAAAAATGTTATGAAGAACCTAGGGGTAAAACAGGAATAAAGACAGAGACCTACTGGAAAAAAGAAAAACAAAAAACAAAAAACAAAACACTTACACAACTAGCAAGTGCTTTAATGACTCTTAGAGCAGCTTTTTATGAACTAAGTTTCAAGATTTTAAATGACTACTAGAGGAAGCTGGGAAACACTTCAAACTCAGAATATGATGTTTGTAACAGAAGTAAAGACTATTTAACACTTAGGTACCTATGCCTCCATTCCTATTTAACCTTTTTTGCATCATTTAAACAGAACTTTGTTATTGAATCAATGTTTCACCCTGTCAGTGTCATAAATTCTTTTGTTTTAGACTTAGCATTTAGTCAAAGTACACATGGACCTTCCAATAACAAGTATATATTCAAGGAGACAGCTGTTTTTGATATTTTTAATGCTTTATTTTTGGACAGCCTAGTAGGGATAACTCTTGGATGTTTTGTAGTACTAAGCTTTTGAGAAAAGGTGTTTAATCTACACTTTCTGGTTGAATGAAAGAATGAAGGAATAATGAACAAATAATAGCTGATTTTTAACCTCTATAACATTCTCTCTCCTAGGCTATACAGTTTTAATCTTAAAAAATTTCCCTAGATTTTGGGTTTTTTACCCAACCCAGACCTCTTGTTGGAGAGCTCTGATAATTTAAATGACTTGTGATATTAGTGCCCTGCCAATTATCCTTAACAAATTCTGTTGTTAATCTGCATTATCACGATCATAAATAGTAAATAATAATTAAGCGTCCATTTGTAGATAGTGGTGAAAGGAGAAATATGAAAAAAATAAACACCTGAGTCTCTGTCATCTTAATTAGCTATGCCTAGATATTATTAGACTTCACATTGGAAATTAGAAATCGGTATGAGTAGCCCCAAGTAAAAAGGTTCAGAAGAGAAAAAAGAAAACTATTTTGATAAGCTGATTTTTTAAATTCCTGAATAGGGAAAACATTCAAATAGGCCAGTTCCTTGTCTCCAAGAAAACATGACCATGTAAACAAAGAGAGAGACAAGCAGCTGAAAGAAGCTGAAGAACTGTATGAAGGCATGTAGGACAAGAGGCAATTGTCTTAAGGGAATCTGAGGTGGCATCATTCACATCATGATTATGAAATAACAACCCTTCTTCAATTGTAACTATATAAGTAAGGTATTATATTGTACACTTATAATGGGTAGGATTAATTTTGCAAGATTACTTCCCTATACGTGTATGAGGAGGGTGGCATGGGACACGGAGCTGAAGAAGCAAGCACTGGCAAGTCATCATAAAAGGCTATTGCAGGATACAGATTCGAAGCACATAAAGTCATAATTGTGCCTCAAGGGTGAAAAGTCTGTAGCAAATTCAGTGTTGGGGACCATAAAATCCTCACTTTGTCATACAAGATTGTTACTAGGGGGCTTCCCTGGTGGCACAGTGGTTGAGAGTCCACCTGCTGATGCGGGGGACACGCGTTCATGTCCCGGTCTGGGAAGATCCCACATGCCGTGTAGCGGCTGGGCCCGTGAGCCATGGCCGCTGAGCCTGCGTGTCCGGAGCCTGTGCTCCGCAACAGGAGAGGCCACAACAGTGAGAGGCCCGCGTACCAGAAAAAAAAAAAAAAAAAAAAAAAAAAGATTGTTACTAGGAATTTTGGAGTTTGAAACTGATCATGGGAGCCAGAGGATGCTCCACCAAAAATGATTAGCAATTACACACAATCTGACATATATGAGTCTTAATAGACATTCAAGTAGGCTACAAAAATAAACTTTCAGCCAAAGAATGTGAAAGACATGACCATTGCAGATGCCTCTTCACTGTCCTGGGGCAGTTTGCATAAATAGTACTTCATAAATATGCACATATTTCAGATTTGCTATTTCTAGAGCGAATACAAGCTATGTATTATTGAAAGTATGAAAGGTTTTGATCAGTGCAGGAGCTGTTAATCCAACCTGGTTTCTTCTGAATGTATTTTTTCAGACTAATGTTTAGAACAATGGGACAATAAGCAACTCAACCAGTCAGAACTCAGCCATGCCCTGATGAGCGCTGGTCACACACACAGTGCCTACCCAGCTATACAAGCCAGAACTAAACTGTGATGTTAGTTGATAGTTGTTGTGCATCACTATTAGCACAGAGTAATTCAATGTAACCTACCTACCTGTGCTTAGTGACATTTTAAACGTCTAGGGATATGACAAGGGCACAGATTTGAATCAGACTATGCAAAATATCAAAGCAGAAGACTTTGAAAGAGTCCTCCCTGCCTCATTATAATATTTTTTCAGGGTCGTTTTTGTAGTCTGTGGATAGGGATGTGGGGTGCAGGGTTAGAAAAAAAAATAGGAAAGAGTTTGGTGCCATGAAAGTTTTATACGATAACATCCATGTTTTAGAAAACTATCCCTGGAAGCTAGGCAGAGAAAGGATTGGAGAAAGAACTGATCAGAGATGAGGAAAATACTTTGGAGGTCATTACAATAGATGGTTGAGAGAGAATAAAAGACTGAACTACAGCAATGAAAATGGGATTTAAAAGGAATAACATGAAGAGCTGTATATAGATCTTTTTTTTTTTGGTTTTTGAGATTCTCATTTAGAGCTTTTGCTGGTGCCCTCAGCACATGCTTAGTACCTAGCAGGTAATCAGGCGCTTGCCTGGACCACCCACTTGATAAGGTTGCTGGAACCACTGGAGGCCACTGTAAGCTGGGTCTGCTGGGAAACTGTCACTTTAGAACTTTCCGGGATGGGAAAGCAAGTTAGTTAAGGTCCCTCTCCCAGCTCCCTTTGGGAGCAAGGCATTTCCTGATGAGGGAATATAGTGCCAGCCAGACTGGGAACTTCTTGGGGACCGCAGCAATCTTTGCATTTCCTGCCTTAGCCCAGTGCAGAGCACACACTAGCTTTCAACAATAAAAACTAATAATAATTTTTAAGTTACCACACTTTCCACTTAATCTATGAAATCAATTTATTTAAAAATTATTCCTAGCTATAGCAGTATACCTTAAGAAGTAAGTAAATTAACTGTAGGAAATGGGAACATAAACAATACTAATCAAAACAAGCCTTGAAGGAACAAAACTGAAAATAGTATATGCAAATTAGATGAACCATTGGACTGAGAAATAACATAGTACGGAATGTGTAAACTGAAACCACTGTGGATTAATAATAAACTCTGTGAGGAGCAAAGATTTTCGTATGCTTACCTGTTATGCTGTAACCTCAGAGCCCAGAACAGTACCCAGCACATAGGAGACATTTAATGAACATTTGTTCAATGAACAAATGAACTGTCCTGGTTTAAAAGAAAGAAAGAAAGGAATATAATTAGTTTTTCTTCTATTAGAAGTTGATTCGAGTTTTTGTTTTGTTTTGTTTGGTTTGGTTTGGTTGTTGTTCCAATTCTAGAGCTAAAGAAAACATTTCTTATGCAACTGTGTTTTTTTTTTTAATGTAGAACACTGCCGAATAGTGATATTTTAATCGCATCAGGAACAGAGAACAGAATGCAAACTGTTCTTTCTCTCATGACATAAGCCACGATTCTCTTGCCCTGTGGTTCTGCAATGCTAGAGAAGCTTGAGATAGAAAATCATGTGTAGATACCTGACATTTGGTTCTCTCCAGGGAAATAAACTTATTTAATTAGTTTAATATTCCTTGGTGAACTATTGCTGATTGGCTGTTTCACACAGATGTTTTTCTCTAGCTCTATGGGTATTTTCAGTGATGTGAAGAAAAATAAAATATTAAAGGAGAAAACAACACATTTGAATAATGGGAGAATTTTCAAGTAGCATATTCCTGCAACCATCAAATATTATCTATGGCAATGTACTTTTTCAGGTAGGAATTCATTCTGTTCATCATGCAGCATGTCCTCAAGTATTCAATCTTTTCTTAAACTAGCCCAGAGTCTATATCAATATTGAAGATTTTCATTCATTTTTTCATCTATTTAACAGATTAAAATTAAGTATCTACTAAGTGCCAGTGTTTCAGCTACACCCTTAGGGAGCCTCATTGCCTCCTACAGTTCCCTACAAGAGATTTCATGAATTAAAATGCCCTTGTGTTTGGGGACTAGTTAAAGAATGTGAAGGGAAAGAAACATCTTTGAAGTGTTATGAATGTACCAGGCACATTTGGAGGGGCATCTCTAACCATCCTTTTTAAATAGCGTCCACCCCATGCCTGCTTACTTTTTTTCATCCTGCTTTTTTTTTCTTCATCTACTAATCCCCACTTGACATTGTTCACTGCTCTATGCCCAGCTCTGAGAAGTCGCTGGTATAGAGTAGGGGGTTTTTTTGTAGTTGTTGCATGAAGGAACTTGAAAGGAAGCCACTCTTATTTTACAAATGAGACCAAGACAAATGACTTAAATGATTTGCTTATAATTGTGCAACCCTTAAATCACAAATTAGGGGATTAAACCTTAGTGTGAAGGCAAAGTTCATGGTTCCTTCCATAATTGTGTCTCTAAATGCATATTTCTTTACTGAGATATGAATCTGTCTTCTTTTGTTACAACGCCATTATGTGAAAGACGCAGAGTTACAGAGATCTTGCCTTCAAGAGCCTGACAGTCTAGTTTGGAAGGAAAGAAATATGTGGGGATCCAACTAAAAGTAGGGCAGTGTCTGTGTTGGGAAGGGACCTCCGAGATAGTAAGGAGGAGGGTGCCCTAGCCTGGGGCTGGGTCTTGGAGGGCACTTTAACGTGGCTGGGGTCTGTTGTCCCTGGAATGTGAGGCAGTAGACTAGGTAGATTCCTTCAGAGTAGCCAGCTTTCCTACAAGCCCTTTCTCTGAGTCCCTGTTCCCATTTAGATACCAGAGAAAAGTGGATTCTCCCCTCTTTTTGAGAGGGAAGATAGAAAAAAAGCTCATTTTTGAAGGGAGTTTGAAGAGTTTGTGGTCTAAGAAATAAAGAGGTGGAGAAAACCAGTGGTAGGAAGTGAGGTTGTTTTACCTGGAAAAGAGAAAAGGACGGGAGTGGAGAGGCGGGTGAAGAGCTAACTTCAAAAAACCTCTTCATGGGAAAATCAGAAGTTCGTTGAAAGTCCTTACACTTACTTGGTAAACATCTGAAGCGACCTGAACTTGAAGGCCTGACTGTTGCCCTTCTCTGGAGGAGACGGTTTAGATTTATTCTCTTGGACACCAAACAGTGGAACCTAAAAAGCTCTGACGGAAACTCGTTTCTACTCCACACCCAGAAACGCCTTTAACACGAGCGGCACGGAGCTGCCTCAGGTGGAAAGCAGTCCCGCCGTCAGGTCGCTCCCGGGCCCCGCCTGGCGACCGACTCAGCCCCCATCCCGGGTCGCCGGCTGGGGGTGGAGTCCGGGAGCCCAGGGGGCGCACGACAGACTCCGGCTGCGCATCCGGGGCTCCCCTGGGAGCTGCGCGGGGCGGGGCAGGCGTCCCGGGAGTTCGGTCCCTGGCTCCGGCGGGGTTGCGGCCGGGGGACCAGGGCGCGGCTTGCTCGCGGCAGTCGGGCGCCTCCTGCACCTCCGCCTGGGGCGCATCCCCCGCTGCGCCCCAGGAGCGCCCCCAGAAGCCGCGCGGCTGCCCGTCACGTCTCTCCGGCCCCCCGGTCACCCCCAGTACTCCGGCGGCGGGGACCCAGGCGGCTCGGAGCCCCGAGGTTCCTGTGAGCAGGGACTGGGAACGGCCTGGGAGGGAGGGGTCCGCGGTGGAGCGGGCGAGGAGCCGGGGCTGCGGGACGGAGGCGTGAGCGTGCACTGGTCTCTGTGCCGTCTCTCGGTGCCTCCGTACATCCCTGTCGCTGTCGCAGCAGGGAAGGCCCATAGGGTCCCCGCCGAGCACAAGCCGTTGCAATTCGACAGGAAAATCCTGCTGTGGATCGGGCGTTTCACAACGATGGAGGAGATCCCGCCTCGGATTCCGTAAGTGTGGCCTGTGCCCGGCCAGGGTTGCGTGAGCCCGGCAGGGTCGGCGCCGGGCCTGGGGGGCTCGGGGTCCAGCGCACCCTGGAGCGGAGGCGGCCGCGGAGCCACACAGGTCTTCACAGTAATACCTACCACCTTAAGGAATTTACCCACGCCCCCCGAGTGCGGTTAAATGCCAGGCTCCGTGATTGGGCTGTGGGAGCTAAGCTAAGCTTACACAGAGATTCTTGAAGTCGCGTGAAAATCCAGAAGTTCAGTGGGCACTTACACCGTCGCTCAGATACCCGCCCCCAGCGAGCTCCGGGCCATGAGACAGTGGAGTAGACTTAGGCCAAACAGAAGGCACCGGCCTTGCGTGCACCCGGGTGGCTGAGAGGGAGAGGGGCTCTGGCCTGGGAGGGGAGGGGTGGGGGAGGGCGGCTTCCTGAAGCACCCAAGGAAGCATCATGGCTCGAGGGGTGGCTAGAGAGTCTCTGGGAAGAAGCCACATCCATGTGACCTCCTCTTCTGGGGTGGGAGATGCCTGGTGTACGCGGTCCTGCAGCTCTCTGAGTACGGGTTTACTCGGACTGGGACCTACGGCGCATCAGCGTCGCTGGCCTCTTCATCATCCCAAACCCAGGACAGAGATTCGCTTGATAAAACTTAAGCTGACAACTTCAACTCCAGGGTAAATGTAATATGTTTTTTTAAAAAAAGTAAATGTAACCTGTAAAAACCATCTTTCTACAGCTTCAGTTTATGCAAAGCCCAAAAATCTTCCGGGAACTTTACAAGGCAGTGGTTACAAGGGGAAGGAAGGAAACTAAGGATAACATCAATCTACTACTTTTTGAACTGATCTCAAAAAAAAAACGGGAGACTAGAACTATAAAATCAGATAAAGATTTCAGATGTTCAAATATTATATTTATATGATGTAATCAATGCCTATTAGAATGGATAATGGAAACTGGGCCTACATCTTGTTCTGTGCATATTGCCTACACTTTTATTGATTGTTAATTTATTAGTTACCAAAAGCATCTCAAATAAATGGAAAACAAAATATGGTGGGAAATGTTCATTCAATAATGAATTCTCAAACATTTTTATTCCTTTCTTGTATCAAATTATTTAATAAGGAATGGTCATGGAATTTGAAATAACATGGAATTTGAATTCAGTTTTCAGCATTTATTCAACCACGAAGATGTTTTTTAATATTATAAAGCAAATTTTGTTTTCCTTGAGATCTATAGCCTCTCAACTAAAGACTTAGCCCAAAGAAGAAATTAGCCCCAGAAAAACTTTAAAAGACCATCCTCAGTGTTTTTGGATTTTGAATTCTAGTGCTACACAACAGAGTAATCAAAAATGTAAAGAACCTGCATTATTGTAAATTAATGTTTGTCAAGAGAACTGAGATCCATTTTAGCATGGCTGTATATGTGAAGAGACCCATTTTACAGAAATAATTTAATTTCCCCAGGATCACAGTCAAAAGAAATATTATAGGGCTTCCCTGGTGGCACAGTGGTTAAGAATCCGCCTGCCAATGCAGGGGACACAGGTTGGAGCCCTGGTCTGAGAAGGTCCCACATGCCGCAGAGCAACTGGGCCCATGCGCCACAACTACTGAGCCTGCACTCTAGAGCCCGTGAGCCACAACTACTGAGCCTGCGTGCCACAACTACTGAATCCCACGTGCCTGGAGCCCATGCTCCACAACAAGAGAAGCCACCGCAATGAGAAGCCCACGCATCACAGCAAAGAGTCGCCCTGGATTACCACAGCTAGAGAAAGCGTGCACGCAGCAATGAAGACCCAACGCAGCCAAAATAAAATAAAATAAAAATAAATATTATAAACAGAAGAATTTAACTTTGAGCAAGGTGCCTAGAAAAAGTACTGTAGTTTTGGGTTGAAAACATGGAAGTATTTGAATATTTTATTATTTTCTATAATTTTTTAAAAGCATTGCTATTTAGGAGAGCTATGCCTCCTAAGCTAAGTGTTAGATTTACAATATAAACAGCTTTCATTTTTATGCTTTTAATGGACATATAATTAAGTGATCTATAATTTTTGGACCATACACTAATGATATTTAATAATGACTGTACTTTTTCTTTTCAGTGTTAAACTAATTTGGTATAGCTGTTCAAAGCCAGATGGATGGGTAGAAAAGATCAGATCTTTCAGGTTCCATCTGGAACAAAAGTCAACAACAAGTATAATCTAATAATGTGCTAAAATTCACCTGTTGGCAACTACCATAAAACTTACATTAATCTGCCTAAAATCTGAGGAAAGCAGGCTAGATATTGGTTTTCTGTGTTCTTTCAACTAGCGGAAAGTTAAAGAAAAAATTTTTCATTTTTAAGAAGAATTGCAAATTGTCTTCCTGGAATTCTTTTTTTTATGTGACAACATTCTATTTAAACTTGACAAAGATAAAAAAATACTGCTGAATACATTCTCAAAAATCATTCTTTAATTGTATGTATTTATAAACTGCCACTTCATATTACTGCAAATTGTTAAAATTTATTTTATCATAAAGGCCTACGGGCA